AAGGGAAAATTGGAAGTTGTATTGAGTTGTATTGTTCTCCCTTAAGATTTATAGTTACGTAACATTATACAATTGCATAATAAAGCATTTTTGATGTCTTACTGTGGATGTAGGTCAATGGATGTAGGTCAATGACCAAACCACATAATTTATTTGTGTCCTTATATATATATATTTTTGAGCTAATAGGTCGATTGTTGTTTGTATTGGTGGCAATGTGATTATTTTGAGACTATTGTTGTTGTTGGGTTGTTGTTCTTGTTGGCTTGTCTTGTTCTTGGCTTGAGATACATAATTATGAGCAAAGTGAATGTGCTAGTGCAATTATTTCTTAAACAATTCTATTGAGATTCAAAATTAAAAAGTGTTTATTTTCATTTGTTGCATATAGTTTCATCATGTCTAAAGCACTTGAAGGGGGCTCGTCCGCAATATGGGATAAAGAAATAACAAATATTTTTTGTGATCTGTGTATTAAAAAAATTGGTAAAGAAATAGAACTGGGGAACAAGCCAACAACGTATTTTAATAAGGGTGGAAAAATATTGCTAAGAGATTCAAAGGATTGACTGGCACGGTTTACGATAGACTTAAATTTAAAACAAATGGGACCAATTGAAGGAGTGGAAAATATAGGAGTTGAAATGTGATGGTGAAGGTTTGGCTGATATGATTACTTTAAGGGAGTTTATCACAAATAATATCCGTGACTGTTGATCTACCAAGTGTTTCTTTAAACAGATTATAGGTCGATATTCATATGCATTTAGTTTTGGTTTTTTTTTTAAAATATCTTGAGCTGACATTTTTATCTTTTTTTTTTTTCGCAGTTACACCAACATGACTTCTAGGATATCAGTTACAGACAGAGGTATTTTGTGTTATTGTGGACTACCATCTCCATTGCTTACGTCACGTCAGCCTCATAGCTTTAGGAGGCAATTATACGGTTGTGTCAAGAGTGTTTCAGCTCGTTGCGATTTCTTCCGGTAGTCTGATATTCTCACATATTACACTGTCAGCAGTCATGGGAATCTGGTGTTTTCCGAGGTTGATAGTGCAGCTGAGGAGAGATGTACCCAGAGTTTGAAATTAAATATTTTAATATTTCTCATTGTAGTTGTACTTGTCTTTGTACTTTTTTTATTTCTTCTGAAACTCACGAGAGTGTGAGAATTGTATGTCATCTTTTGAAACTGATCTGTGATGATTGTATGCTTCTGCACTTGCTTTTATACTATCAATAAGCTATTTTGAATAAGCTGCCCCAAACAGTTTTATCAGACAAGAACAGGAATGTCATTTAATCACCAATAAGTTATTCTGAATAAGCTGCCCCAAACAGCAAGTCAGATTATTCTGATAATCTGTAGATTATCAGAATAATTTGCTTATCAGCAGATTATAAATAATCAATAGCTGCGCCAAACAGACTCAAACTAAGGTAACCAGTGCAATATGCTCAAATCTTGTAATTAAAAATTTAACATGCATATCTAAGTGCATGCGGGCTTATATATATTTGAATAGTTTCAAGAATTTTATATGCTTTAAGTGACTTAGATGATCTTTTAGGTTATGAATTTGAAATAAAGCTTGCTTAGACAGACATATGTAGAACTCTAAAATCATGCAAAGCTGGCTTATTTATATAAAGGTTCTAAAGCATGCACAACTTGAGAATATCAAAAGTTTCACTCATAAAGTCTTAAAATACTCTCACCAATCTCAAAATATTGCATTAAAAAAATAATCTTGAAATTAATACACTTTGAAATCATTTAGAACAAATGGCTTTTGATTAAAAAGTTTCATGTTGGGCTTTACGAAAGATCGTCTTCTGTTTGCTGATGAGTTATGTTGTGAATTTAGTGGCGAGACTTCAAGCTTTAAAAAGACTCGTGTTTGAATCATATTTCAACCCTTAAAGCCTAAATTTAAATTTTAAAGGCCAAAATTTAAATTATTTTTAAATCCTTCCCAAATGCAAATTATTTTTTCAAAACCTGAGAGAGCCAAAATTTAAAAGCCCAATTTATATTTATTCTCAAACCCTAAGAGTAAATTTTAAAAGTTTAGATTCAAATTATTTTTAAGCTCAAATGATTCACATTTAAAATTATTTTATAAGTTCAAAAGATCCAAAAACTTTATGTTATTCGTAAGTCCAAATTCACCCAAAATTCTGGCAGTCTCCCAGCGTGAACCCTCAATAAGGGTCACAAGAGAATGTCAATCTTCCCAGCTATCTTAAAATACTAGCCGGTCATTATCGTGAGACATTGTGATGGTAGAGCAAAAATATTTACTTCAACCCACGTTCTAAAAAAACACTATAAGCTTTCAATAAACCTGCAAAAATGGTTAAATCACATGAAAGTACTTTCCTTAATAACTATTTTACTTTTCCTGAAAGATACTTAATTTTCACTGACATGTACTCGCGTTTCCCCGGACGGATATTTAAATCTACTGAATTTTAGATAAATTTTTCAAACGAGCCTGTAATTTTACTGAACAATACTTAATTCCCAATGATGGGTACTCGCGTTTCCTACCGTGAATAATTTGAAACTTGCCCTCCCACACCCATTATAGACCTTCTCGAGCGAGATCGGCGACGATGAAGGTGAAACAATGACAGAGTTAATTGTAGTGAAACGACAAAATTAAAAATAAATAAATAAATACAATGTAGATTTTCTAATTTTTTTAATACAATATAAAATATATAATACAAAGGGGTTGAGTGGCAAGTGCTTTAGCTTCATGTTTTGGGCTTGAGTAGATGTGCGTGATCTTAGTTGTGAAGTGGGGAGGGTTCGGGTAAGTGGGTTTCGGGCTAGGTTTGAATAAAGGAAGAGAAAGGGCTCTACGTATGATTAGGGCAAGTGAGGGGAACACACAAGGGATCACATGAAAGAAGCAAACGAAGGGGGTTTTGGTTTCGATGTGTGGCTTTGATTGATGGATCAAAGGATTTAGGTATGAGCTCTTCGAACAGTCAGGAAAAAGGCGGCACTGATCGTGTAAAGAGGAGATCGACAGCAGGGAGGAAAAACCGTGAAGCGCAACTCAACTTATTCGTGTTAGTAAAATACCTTCTGGACAAGCGGCTCGATTTCCATCCACAAAACAAAAGATGCAAGGAAGATGAAGGCAATCTGAGATGAAATGGATGGTTGTGCAACTTTCGTGGTTTGCTTCGATTGAAAGGACTAGAGCTTTAATTGGGGCATGCGGCTTCTACGTGTGAGATGCGGAGCAAGAAATAAAGCAGGAGAGAAAAACGGGAATTTCGGAGGTCTTTGTACCTCGTGATCCCGTCATTGCTTTCCTGCAGGCTTTAATTGTGAATGTATCGCTCGGCAAAAGATGCTGCGGTCTGGAGGAAGGAGGCGATGAGCTTCGGGTTAGGGCATAGCAGAAGGATAAAGATGGGAATCTCATAAGTCTTTGTAATTTGTGATTCTATTTGTGCTTTCCTCATTAGCCTAAAATGCAACTGTATCGTGGTGGTTAGTCACGAAGGGGAGACAAGGTAAGGAAACTGACGAAGGGGATGAAGGGCTTCAGTTGATCTGAGTGAACTACAAAAGGATGAGGACTAAAGTGTTTCATCTGTTAACAAGGATGAAGGCTTTCTGGTTTGCTGTGAGAGGAAGGAGTGGGGAGGGCTTTGTGCGAGTTTCCAACTGGAGAGAAAAATGGGAAGTCCTAGGGGGCTTGCGGTTTATGCTTCATGCGTATTAGAGGAAACGGAACAGAGAGGGAGCGGGAATGGTTATTGGAACTCCATTTTGACGCAACAATTATGGAAAATTAATTAAATTTAATTGAACTTGATTTACAATAATAATAATCTAATAATTATTTAACAATAACATCATCTTTCCTAAAGAGCGCCTTAAAGACTGAAATGCAACTAACAACCAACCAAATGATTTAGCTCTTCCGTTGGAAGTACTTAATTATTGTATTGTTATTAAAATGCATAAATTCAGCATAGAAACATATGACGTTAAAAGACCATGTAGCATTTGAACTTACAGGACCAGTAACTCCCTTTATCAGCTGGGGTGTAACTGAGACCAGGATGCGTTGAGCAAGAGCTTGTGAAGAAACCTCTGAAATTATAGTCTTCAAGGCTATACTAGCTATGTCACGGTGCTGATCTTTCCCATTGAGCAATTTATCACAAAGCCTGTTTGTCATTTCCAAAACCCTATCCTCTCCAATCTTCTTGACAAGAGGAACTAAGCTATAACACAAACAGAAGTCAAATTTAGTCAATAACTATGATGCAACTGCACAAATTAGATGCAAAAAAAAAGGAGTAAATAAAAATGAACAAGAAATTAGGCCTCAGCAATTCACAATTCCCATACAAACTTAATTAATTATTTTGATATAATTAATTTTAAAACTTTGTCATGTCCGATTATACAACAACAACAAGCCTTTATCATCACTCTCGAATTTTTATAAGACTTCAAGCAAGAAGTTTTAAGAGAATTTTTTTGTATTTTTCGTGTTTAATTATACTCCATCTTTTTCCTCTGCCATTTTTTTTGTAAAATGCCCTTCATGGATACATATCATTGCCTAGTTAATATATTTGGCTTTAGAAAAACATTTTGGAAGGAGACCATGAGAAAAGAGATGCATGCCCTATAAAAGAGCTACACTTAGGAAATAGTTGGGTTACCTATAGAGGAAAAAAGCTAGAGGATGTGAATGAAGTTTTATATTAAGATATAATGTAGAAGTCATAAAGTAAATAACTACATCTTTGAAATGTTCATCATGCGCAACTCGCCAAGAAAGCCTATGGACAGCCCCTCATACCTCCAAAAATATTGGAGAAGTAAAAAGCTTAATTTGAAGCCACTGGAGGGATAGGACCATCACAAAAAATCAAAAAGTTAAAGAACTTCAAAGATTGTATGATGTTAAAACCACTTCATCCGCCTTAGTTGCCTTGCCTGAATAATTTTGCTTTTAGAAGCTTTAAATTTTGCAGTGATTTGGTTATTTTCTTTCCCTTCTCATTAGAGCAAGTCATCAATACACATGATACTAAGTTATTAGCACCTAAGACATGCCAAACTAATGCCATGAAAAATTATAAATAGGACCTTGCTTTGTACTTTTGAATTCGTTGAGTAAAAATTATCTTTCGTGAATTCAAATTTCATGTGAAAAGGCTTATTGGCAGCTATAATCATTGGTAAATCTTGGTAGTTAATCCTCTAAGATTTCAGCAGTTCGTTAGTTACTTTTTCTATCTCTTACTCCATGCATCCAGAATAAATGCCCTCTCTCCATGAAAGGAGTGGCAAACCTTGAATCACCGTCTCCATCAATCCTAAGACACGTCAAATATCTTCAAAACTCCCATATGTATTCCCCCACAACCACTACAACATTGTAAGACCTTACTCCCCATTAATCAGAAGATATCTTATCCAAAAGCACAATAAAAAGCAATATCATTTACTTGTGAAAAACCAGCTTAAAAAATTCACAATACCTTAACCATTGATCGAAATCCATAAAAACACCACCATTACTTCTCTAATATCCCAAACATTTAATCTAAAGTTTATCACCCTTTGCCTCCAAGAAAAACACAACATCCGGTAATGAATCTCAGATCAATCTAGGAACTTACCCAATCTGCATCAGAGAAACATTCAATATTTATATGCCCATGATTTTGATATAGAATCCTTTTTCCAGAAACTCTTTTGAGATAAAATAGCATTTATTTCAATGATAGACTGTGGGGGGAAGACATGAATAGACTTATAGTGCTAACTAAATATGCTATGTCAAGGCAAATCACTGTGAAGTAGTTTAATTTTTCCGCTAACTTCCTATATCTTTTACGATCATTGAAAGGCCCTCCATTCTAAGTAAACTCTTGATTATGAAACATTGGAGTATTGTATGATTTGCCACTATTTTTTTCTTCTCTGCTAACAAATCCAAAATATACTTCCATAGAGATAGAAACATGTCCCTCTTGATCCTTAATACCTCAATCCCCAAGAGGTATTCTAAGGTACCCAGATTTTAATGTTAAACTGATTTTAATGATAAGAATCCCTGCACATTACTTTCAGTAATAATAATGTCATTAACATAAGCCGCTACCAAAATAATCCCAGAAATAATTCACATGTATAGTGCAATCAATTTTACTCTTCTGTTGTCTGGCTAAATCTTCCAAATTAAGCTTGAGAGATTTGATTCAATCCATATAGTGACTTTCAAAGATGATATACTTTCTCAGACTCCCCCTGAGCAACAAAACCCAAGAGGTTATTCCATGTATATCTCTTCTAAATGATCACCATGCAGAAGCAGAGGTCAATTATTCATTGTAGCCAAGGACAGAAAGAGACGAATTAAAGTCAACTTAGCTACTGGAAAGAATTTGTCCAAGTAGACAATTCTATAAATTTGAGCATAGCCCTTAGCAATCAAATGAGCTTTGAGACAAGCTACAGATCCATCATAATGAAACTTAACTGCAAATACCAATTTATAGCCAACAACCTTCTTGCCAAAGGGTAATTCAACCATTTCCCAAGTTCCATTTTCAGTTAGGGCATTCATTTCATCAAGCACCGTTACCCGTCACCAGGAATAGAAGAGGGCTTCTGAACAGATCTCAGACCCTCAACAAAGTCAAGGGAAGTAACAAACGAACAAGAAGTAGAAGGTAACAGATCATATTTAGCACAAGAGGAAATGCAATAGGGGCATTTATGTTTACCTCTCGAAGAGCCATATGTAAATCAAGATCATTGGGTGGAGAATCCACTGAAGAAGACGATGCTGTTGCAGGACTAGGAGTTGGGGAACTAAGTTTTCTATAGTAAACATTAGTGATAGTTGGCCTGGTCTAAGGCGTTGGTGATGGAGATGCAGTTGGAGCTGAACTGATGAAGTAATGCATTAGCTCATTAGAATCTTGTGAGAAATTAACACCAATGAGTCATCAAAAAATAAGGTTTGTTCATGAAAGGTAACATCTAGTGTAAATGCTTAAGAGAGGGGAAAAACACAGATAATTTTTGCAAACAAGTTTATCATAGAAAGGCACGAGTTAATAACTTAGGGTCCAACTTAAAAACCTGTGGACGGGTATCATGAATAAAATAACTACACCCAGGAAAGAGATTTGGAAACAAAACATGGTAGGGTATATGATTTTGTAAAATAATAGAAAGCATTCGATTGGTCAAGAAACATGTAGTAGAAATTGCATCAACCCGGAATTGTTTGGGCACATTAATTTGAAACAAAAAAGTTCTAGCAATCTCAAGATGTCTATTTTTCTTTATGTTACTCCAAATTGGGATCGAATATCGACATGGGATAAGTAATAAAGCATCTAGTTTTGTGTTATGTATCATAGAAAAGGTGTAGAAAAAATTTATTTGACATTGTCACTTCACAGAATTTTAACCAACGAACTATTGACTTTAGTTTTAATTTCAACAAAAAAAAAATTAAAAATCGAACAATAACTCAGTATGGGATTTCATATAGCAAAGACAAGTCATACAAGAAAAAACGTCCACAAAAGTGACAATATCTTCATTCATTAAATAAAATAGGATAAGCTCCACATACATCAGAATGAACCAACTCAAAATTATGACCGACTCTTTTGTTAGTTCTGGGAATAGGCAACAAACGACGGTGCTTAACTAATTGACACGACTGACAATCTAAAAATAATAATTATTCAAAGGCAATATCTTTAAGTAGTGATGGAAGTCACTTCTTAGAATTTTAACTGAAACAATGAATTTAGTTTTAATTTCAGCATAAAAGAATTGAAAATGTGATAGTAACTCAATATGAGATTTCATAAAGTAAAGCCAAGTGATACGAGAAAATTTTCACAAAAGTGACAATATATTTAAATCCATTATATAAAATAGGACAAAGTCCCCTTACATTAAAATGAACCAACTCAAAACTATGACCGACTTTTTTATTAGTTCTGGGAACAAACGACAAACGATAGTGTTTAGCTGACACAACTCATAATCTAAAGATGATAATTGTTGAAACTGGGGGTAAGTTCTTTAACATTAATAGTGATAGATGTCGTAATCAACAATGAACCTCAAAAAGAGAAAGTGTTGGAATAGGCTATCGGTCGAGATAATTTGTCACCCAAAATTTATAGTCCTTAGATTCTTGAATTTTACCAATAATCTTCTACGTTATAAGATCTTGAAGCATATAATGGCTAGATAAGAAAAAATATAATTAAGAGCATGTATAGTCTTGATAACCGAGATAATATTAAAAGAGAATTAAGGTGAATTGATGACAAAAGTTAAAGGTAATGTATGTGTAATATTGATGGTGTCAAAACCAAAAATATTAAAGGTAGATCCATCTGCTAAAAATACCGAAAAAAGATACTTATGAAAGATTGAATAAAGTTTTAGATTACCTGTCATGTGACCTGTAGAACCAGAATCAACGACATGTGTGAGAGAAAGTAGACAAGTATCCTTGTTACGTGACTGAGCAAGGGCAGTGAGAGAGATTTCTTCGATTCATCTACAAAAATTGAGAGTGACATTGAGAGGCCTCAATAGTAGTAACCATATGAGCTGACTATGATCTAGAAACCTTCTGATTCTTTTAAAGCAATTTTTGGCATGTTTTCTTCATATACCCAGATTAATGACAGTATTAGCAAATTACCGTAGAGCCTTCATTTCTAGAATTCAAAGTTCTACTTCCATAATTGCCCTAAGACTAAGATTTATTGATGTTTGTATTTGTCTAGCTAGCAAGAGCACTAGGTTGTTGTACGAATGAAGCCTGAGAACTCAGAATAGTACGCAACACTCTAGTATAAGCTTCCCTCAAAGTAGTAAATCATCGATAAAAAAAGATATATGATGGGACACATTCACACTACGAGTTAAGGCTAGCTAGAAAACTCATAATAGTCATTTGTTATCTTTGAGCCTGATGAGTCTGAACATCAATACTAAACATTAATAGTGCATTCAATTCTTCATAAACATGTTTAAAGTGCACGTGATCACGTCAAAGTGATTGATTTTGTTATTCGGCTGAATAGAACTCCTTGCATACATCAAAGATTTGACAAATACTTTCTCCAAGAAAAGACAAGCACCAATTCATACATCGCATCTTCAACTCAGTCGCAATATGTAATATGACCAGGTTGATCGAGTTCGATAAAGTTTTGTATTAGTATCAAAAATTGGGCATCAATTCTCATCCACTTGAGTAAGTCGTACCAGTCTCAATAGAGAGATTGTCAATGCGGTAATTTTCGTGGAAAATACTTCTCAAGTAGAGTCTCAAAGTTTTACTTCAATAAAAACAATTTACTTAATTTAACTTTTGATCTATAATTTTAGCCACTTATTTAATCAAATTTATCACAACATATTTTTTATCAACGGTCATGATTATCACAGAGTATTCAAGCGGCTGATATGATCCGACAAAGACAAACGATATCGAGCAGTAGAAGACAAACGATCTGGCGATACCTGGCCAAAAGAGACAAATGGCTAGACGAGATTGCAAGCGAGAAGCTCCGGAGATGACAGTTAGGGCCTGCTCATGACCCAGGGAGTCCAAAGAAATTGTGAATGGGAACTGAAGAGAGCACCTTGCAGCCAACGCGAGTCGATTGTGAAGGTCAATCAAAAATGCCGACAGGACTGCTACCGAAAAGTGACAAAAGACGATCTGAAACACTTTCTTAATTGAGAAAGTAACAAACTTAGAAGAGGCTAAAGAAATCATTTGCTCTGTCCTAAGCAGACAAGGCAGATGAACTATGCAAATTCGAAGCCAGCAACATATATTCAAACGCACTGACGAGATAAGCGAACTAACAAGCTATCCAGTGGAAGCATTCAGCAGCGCCGATAAAGGATGACGAATGCAAATGAGCAATCCAGTCGAAGCCGGACAATAAAAAATGCCATGATCCCGTCGAAACATAGAGCCATGATACCATGTGAAGGAAAATTCCTTCTCTTATTTCTCAAATAAGAGTATATATTACATATTAATATATACTCCTAACTCTATAGATTAATAATATCTCTATCATAGTTGAGGAAGACCGTAACAGTCCTCAACGAGGCTTTCTTATCTGAGAAAGACACCTTCAAACAGCATTAATTTTCTACATGATGATGCATCGAGCTATCCCAAGCCCTTTCTTGGCCACTGACTTTTCATTTGCTAGCTCATAAACACTCGAGTAAAACCATTGCATAAATTAAAAAGATAAGAATGCCCCTCTTTCCAGTGACAAGCCACCCATCTTTGTTCACCTCATTTCTGTTTCCAACAAAAACAGCAAATGATTTCAAGAAATAATTGCATCCCAATTTTCAATCATGGTCATCTCACCATGACATATTCTAAACCATTTTATCACCCAATTTCTATCATTTACTTCTATAATCAACAAATCTAATTTTTGTTTTTGATGGCTTCCCACTCTCCTAACAATGTCAATATTCTAATTGCATTTAGTTAATTTCCTCAAAATTTTAGCCACTCATCCCATGCATCTACTCTGCAATAGGTAGGCTTTTTTGAATGTATCCTATACTATTTTACCCAAACAATGACAGATAGATGTTTAACATGAGTGCTAATTAAATCTTTATAGAAAGCACTGTAACGGAAAAATAATAAATGTTTACTCAGTAAAATAGTATTTATGCAAAATTATGGCCAAGATAATCAAGTATAGAACGGAAGCTCACCATTTCACTGCTAAACCAGAGACATCACCTGACACGTCTTCTAGTTGCTGAAGCACAACATGAGCTAATTTCACCTCCAGCTCAATGTCAGCTTTAAATCCATCTTTACTCAGCTCATTGAGCAAATCTGAAGTTGCCATGTATCTGTAATCCTTATCTTTACCCGTCATCTTAAAGTAACCACCAAAGAAGCACATTCATTATCAAGTGAATGCACTAAAAAGCAAAGAAAAGAAAAACACTACTCAAGATAATTAAATAAATACCTTTTCTAAAATGCCTGTTATAGCTAAGTTTGACATTTTGCAGTTTTTATCTTTAAACCAGAAATGCCTTACAAGTTCTTAAGCCTGCAGTAGTAAATAGGACGTCATTAAAAATACTCCATCAAAGAATGCTAAACGTGCACAAGAAAGTACATCTAAACATGCCCAAAGTACTTCGTGGAATGCATAAAATTATAAAATTCATCAGATGAACCATGAAATATGAAGCCAAATTAAACAAGGGAATCCAATAAATCAAAAGTAAACTTTAGGAGTAAAATAATTATGATTTTGCAATAGCTAAAACAACATTACATATAGCAGGCATATTTTAGCCATGTCTTGCATGGATCTAAGAAAATACAGCAAAAATAATTTGGCATTTTCACATATAACGTATAACTAAAACAATTACCAAAAGAACAGTGGTAAATGTCTTCAGAAAATCTCAGACTACATATTTTTATTCGTATAAACCATATAGGCAAGATAGTTCTTCTGTCGACGCAACAAAAAAAAATTATTAATAAAATTTTACAAAAAAATAGAATAAATAAATAAATAAGATAAAAGAATTATAAACTATAGACTATTTAGTAATTATATAGGTCAATATGCCTCTTCTAAGAAATGTTCGAGAGATGATGGAAGTGTTATATTCAGATAAATAATATAGTTTAATTCTATGTTTAATAATTTTATAAATTATTGATGATTTGGATAACATGTAAAAAAATGAATGACAGAGAACTTTTCTTGAAAAAATTTTAAGTCAAGTTTAAACATTAGTGCAGGCTCAAAGCAAATAGAATAACAAATGAGAGATGCTATAATAACCCCATAAACTCACAATTAACAAACCATCACATACTCCATGATGTGGCTGACACAGAGTGGCATATTCTATTTATTCCAACAGTCTTTTAGCATCAAGGGATGTTTGTTCTGAAGTATTTGGAGTGTGAAGTAATAAGAATGGAAGGATTTTTAATTTTTATTTGTTTGATTTGGAGTAAAGAAAATAAAGTGTAAGATTATGAGGAATTTAGAAAACACCCATTAGGCCATTCAGAGTCTAATCTCAATATGGGACACACCATTTTGTGCAACCTCCCATCATATGATATTGTGTCATCCCAACACCCCTCTCCTGTATGTCTATGGAGACTGCATCCACACTAATTGTCCAGACTGCCCACACGTGACCTCCCCTCATGAGACCACATCTACTCCCACATCCATCGATTACAAGGACTTAATTGGAATCTGATAGATAGTTGATTTCCTTCCACATCTTTCCTACTATATATGGGCACGATAATTTCTTTCTATTATTTCAGCATGCCACTATAATAAAAATCAAATAGTTTCTATTTCAATCAAAGCATAATTTTTCTTGCCACTTAATGGACTAAACTATCAAAATATAGAACAAGTTTTAATTATAAAAGAGGGCTCATCTGCTTGTTATAGTTTAATAATGCTCAATTTTTTGCTTAAATTTGTATATATTGTTGCAATGAGAATTTTTTGAACACAATAAAATTATTGGCGACAGTTTTCAAAAGAAAATTTTCTCCTAATGCCACAAGGCCTAAGACTTTGATGTATTCTATCATTGACTTTTCCAACTATGTATTTTTAATTGATTTTTGCGTCTATTTGGGATTTTATCAAGTCCTTAAAGAAAATGAGTTCTCTTCTATCATCCAACTTTTCATCATTGTATGGATTTATTCGTTATCAAATTTCTTGTAAAAATATCTAATTTAATACATTTAATTATTGTTTGGCAAAAATTTTAAGTGATTTCCCTTTTTTGACTTCACATCAAAAGAGGCTAATTTTTGCCCGAAATATAAGTTGTAGACTTATAGTTTTGTTCTTTTGTGTGCTTCTCTTTCTTTCTTTCTCCCTTCCTAGGATTGTGCTTGTGAAGCTTGGATCCCAAAATGTCTGGCATTGGATTTACTACTAAGCTTATGGTCAAATCACGATGTCAACTAGAAAAGAGCCTAACCAGTTCAATTGTTAAAATAATAAAAAATGAAATATAATTGAATTTGATTAGACTAATTTTCTATATGACAACAAATTCACTATTATGTTTAAAACTATATTCTTAGTTTTGACGGCAGGCATAACCTTACAAACAAATTTCAAACGAATTGATAATTTGGAATAATTTTTTAAACATCATCATTAATTTATTTCCAAAATTTTAAAATTGTTGAACAAAAACCATAGTGACACGCTTAATCATTTTTGACAAAGTTTTGCAATTAAATTAAGCCCATATAAGCTAACCTAAAATATAAACTTATAATTCTTAGATCTGCTGAAACTTTTAGTATTATACACAACTTGAATATTATCTTTGAATGTTTTGATAGGTTTACGAAGAATGTCAAAAAAAAAAAAAAAATCAATGGCGTTCAGACTATTGTTTAATTAAATGTGTTAAGTGAGAAATTATAAATAAATTAAGTTGTAATTCACCAAATATGCTAGTAGAAGCTTTATCTATAACTTTGGATAGTGATGTATAATACAATAGAATTACTACATATAAGAATAAAATCCTTGATAAAAAATCATTATTGACTCTAAGATTTTAAGTGAACCAATGCACTCAAAGAGCTACTCTAACTCAGCTCAATTAATACTCTTGAGTTCATCAAAACTAATAATTTAGCAAGTTTAAACATTTTTGAAAGCTTTTAGCTCAAGTTAACCAAACTAGAACACAAATCAAATCATCTGTTCAACAGATCATTTATTGTTCAAATAAGCTCAATGATAGGTTCTATATTGTTCAATTATTTTTATTTAAATAAATAGTTTGTCATCTTGTTTAATTAACATATGCTTAGTTTGTTCTAAATAGTTACATATTAACTACAAATTTATTCAATTGTTTCTCCATTTAGTCCTGAAAAGAATTTACTAATATGACAAACACATAGGAGTACATTTAATATTTGTTCATTTATGAGTCTATTTATTACGTGCTTAAGTAGTCTTTCGATTAATTAAGGCAACCCAAACTCGAACATATTTTAGAAGGCTTCACACTAGTTTGAGATGAACTTGGATATTTCACATTATGACCATGTCAATCTGATATATTTTATGCTCAGCTCCACTTGATTATAACATTAACTAGCAAGTCCAGAGCGTAACGAGCATACACCCGCATAAAATTCATGCATAATCAAATATAATTATATTGAAGGAATAGTAGTTCATGAATATTCTTTGAAGATAAATTAAATAAATATTTAGAGTTATTTGAAGCTACATTAGACCATGTTCATAAACCTAAAAATATAATGAGCAAGAGTTACAATCCAAATTGGAAATAGAATTTGTTTATGACATAAATTCATAATCTAACACAATTATAAACTAATCGTGAAACTAAAATTTAACATGAGATCATATATATACCCAAATTGCAACAAGAAGATGAGTATAATCTTGATTATGAGCCTATACTTCCAATAGAAACTGGATTTGAAGATGAAAATGAGCTTCTAAAAGGTGTTGAAACTATTCTTGAATGTTATGTTGAACAAAACATACACAATGTAGATGATGAGTCAAATGTTTGAAATGATAATGATATCATTTTAGGGCTCCTAGAAGGCATTTAAGAATATAAGAAAATGATAGGTAAGTTTTTCGATAGGGAAGGAAAGCGGGAAGATGGATGTCGGTTGAAATTCGACATGAACTGCGTGATGGCAGCGAATCGAAAGCAGAAAAATCAGAAGAAATCTAAAAATGGAGCACTTTGATAAAGAAAAATCAGAAGAGAACATCTCCAAATAACATAAACAAAGTTAAAGTATGAGAAAAAAGAATATATCAAAACATAAATAGTTTCCTCCTAGAAAAAAAAACTAAGAAGAAGTAATAAGATGGGAAATAAATCAGAAATGAAAAAAAAATGGTTGAAATCAGGAAACAAGCGGTTGTTGCAGGCAGATGGGCGGGACTCGCTCGTTTCCCAGATATGGGGTCTCAAGATTTATGGAACCAACAAGAATGCCAAGTATCAAAAGCAGGATTGCGGATCCCGTATATCCTGTGAGGGACACTGCCACGTCATTCTTTCCGGCTATGAGGACCTTGCCTTCTTCTCTGGAGGCGTACGGAATTGATCTACCAATACCAAAACAAAGTGATCTCCTTGTTGTGTCTTATGTAACTCCACTATAAAATCTATGCTCTCGTCTACCACAAAGCAACTCTGAAAAACATAACATTATTACAAGCATGCCCTAATAGAATAAATAGTCATTATGTTTTGGCACAACCAGAGTTAAAGCTATAGATAAGTAAGTTTTCTAGCAAATCAAATCTAAAGTCATTAAATTGGTAATCCTCATACTCGGGCGGGCGTAATTGATAAAGTATGTCTAAAGAAACCAACTCTGGAATAAATTATGGGATAAACTGAACCACTCTCAGTAGCAACCGCTTAAGAGGTAAACGGTCAGTCGGGATATCAGTAACTCCCTTAATGAGGGATATTTCTTTTTCGGCATCAGCTCCAAAGACTTACTATCTTCTATAATAACCAATTTTAACCCAGATGAGGTCTCTCTCATAAGTTCAACTTGAATCATTAGTGTTTCATTCCCATTAACTGGAAATTGACTCCTCTCTTTTGTCATTATTCATTTCGTATATTGTTCTCTGCTCTATGAAAGAGATCATTCTCTTATTTGTGTAATATTGATGCACTATGCCAAAAATTATGGCACTTGAAGCACTTCTTGGCCGAGATAGATCTTTGAGTGTCAATTGGCTCTGCCTATCTCCACTCTAAACTAGTTTCTCTTTAGGCGGGGTCGGCTTGGATGCTGCTCTGGGTGTATTCTTGTTGCTTGGTCCTGGAGTTGAACTCCTGACAGGTGTGGCGGTCGTCCGGTGATGTCTCTCCACCTTTGAAGGAAGGATTTGAACATTATGTAATGTCTAATAGGAATGTGCTTGTACCTTGTTGCCAATGAACGGTCTCAATCATCCCGATATCCGTTCTCCTTGAACTTCACTAGCCCACATTTCAACATAAG